AAAATATCAGTAGTTTAAGACTATTTTAGGGCAATTAGTGGTTTTCAAAAGTATGAAGTTTTATTATTATTATTTTTTCCCTTGGATTCCTAGTGGAACAGTCTTTTCTACCTCACTCCATGACTGCCGACAAGCTTTCATTTCTTCCTCACACCATCTACTCCATGTCACCCTCACCTAGGACACCCAACTAGTCATTTCACATTTGGATTCGACTCAAGGAGCTGGTCTGTCACATGATGTTATCAGTGGGCCTACTCAGTTTATGCCCAATCCAATCCACTTCCATTTTCTTCTCCTGCATATTTGTTGGGTTGTGTTGTTGGTTGGTTGTTTCGTCGCCAGTCAGAGTTTCTTGTTGCTTATTCTTATTATTTTGACCATCAGATCTGATCTTCATGATTGAGTGAGTGTAGGTGGCAGCTGTTGATGATGCATGTGTGCAGTTTGTAGTCAGTGCTTTGTGTGACACACCAAGTTTCTCAACCATCATACAGGAGCACTGACGTACTTGACTGAATTATTGTTGAAAATCCAGATCTTGTTCACGCTTTATGCTGAGTGCAATGCAGTACAGCAGATCTCCAGACTAATTTCAAATTAGTGAAAGCCTGTCTTGCTTTTTCGATCCTGGTTTTGACATTCTCGTCTGTGCCACCTGTAGTCAAAATGATGCTCCCCAACCTAGGTAGGTGAAAGAGACTAATTCCTTCAGGTTATTCCCGTTGATGGTGATTGGTGCTTGTTGTTGATGCTGTTGTTGGTTGGGTATCTTCATCACCTCTGTCTTCTCTACATTCACTGGAATTCCCGTTTTCGCTGCCCTGCCTCTTCTGTCAACTTAATTCTTTTTGCCTGTAGATCTCTGAGTTTATGTTACAAGACATTAGACACAAGTCATCGGCGAAATCCAAATCTTCTAGGCTCTTCTCATTCGTCAAACAGCGTAGGCTCATCTTCTCGCTCCTCATAGTTTGTTGCATGATCCAGTCCAGTCGACCACCATCAGGAACATCATGGGTGATAGTAGACAGCTTTGTTTCACTCCTGTCTTCACTTCAGAGACATCACTGAGCTATCCATCGTGGACCACTTAGCATGTGGTGTCTTCATTTATTGGTTGAATGAGGTTGATAAAGATTTGTGGCATTCCGTAGTGTTGAAGCAGCTGCCTGCCAAATTGCTTGTCAATCGACGCTATTGAAGGCCTTTCTAAAGTCGATGAAGTTGAGTTGACTGCCGTTCTACGCCCTGTTCTATGATGACACGTAGCGTCACGTTGCAATTTGATCCACACATGATTTGTTCTTCCTGAAGCCAGTCAGCCTGTTTCGGTTGTAATTTTGAATGCAATGCATCTTTTAGTCTCTTTAGGAAGATGCGGCATAATATTTTGCTTGCTTTGAGTGGACGAGGACAGCAGCATGATTCCTCGCCAATTCTTGCAAAGGCTTAGGTCTCCCTTCTTTGGCAGTTTGACAAGACAGCCTTTCTTCCAATCTGCAGATACCTTCACTTCCTTCCTTCCAAACCTTCTGCAATAATGGTGTGAGCATGTTCGCTGTTGTCTCAGATGAAACTGATGGTTCACTCACTGCCTAATTTTTACTGCATTCTTCAACCGTGTATACCAGAAACCTAACATTACCATAATATCCTTCAATGAAACAGTTATATGTTTCAACGTAAGGCTATAAAAACAACATATTTAACCATGTTTACACTAAAAATAATTAAATGTTCTGTTTCATTATCAGATGCGATACTTTTGTAATCCAGTTACATGTATAGTAATAGGCATAACTTTCTGCTTAACGTACTATTTTCCAGAAATGTAGATAAAAATGACTTTGTGTAAGAGATTTCAGATACTCTGAAGAGTAGGGAATATGAAGTTTTAATATTTTATCAGTATTTTGTATAATTTCCTAATCAATAAATCTGTCGGTGCTCAACAGTTTTATTTTCTAATATGCGACTCATTCTTCTTCTTTGCAGAGTTTTACAACTATGCATCAATAATGATGCTGTGCATTCACTTCGTTATCAATGACTGCAATAAGTTGGTTATAAAGAATCGAACTGCCTTGGTTATAATCAAAATAGTAGCAGCAAACTGATGATTTAATGGTGTATGATGACCAATTATGCTTACATAGAATAAAATTGTCACTTTTTATCTTCTACTATCATACTACAAATCGTGTGCATACCAAATTGCAACGCAACGCTACGCATCATCATAGAACAGAGTAGAGAATGGTGGTCAACCCTCTACCTTAACCTCATCGACTTTGAAAAGGCCTTCAACAGCGTCGACCAAGAAGTAATTTACCAGGCAGCTGCTTCAACACCACGGAATACCACAAACCTTTATCGATCTCATTCAACAACTATATGAAGACGCCATATGCCAAGTAATTTACAATGGGAAGCTCAGTGATGACTCTGAAGTAAAGACGGGAAGGAGTAAGACAAGGGTGTCTACCATCACCCATGATATTCCTGGACTGGATCATGCAACAAACGGCGAGGAGCGTGAAGAGGAGAATACGCTGGACCGCGGAGAAGATCCTAGAAGACTTGGATTTCGCCGATGACTTGTGTCTAATGTTTTGTAGCACAAACTCGAAGATCTACAGGCAAAGACTAACAAGTTGACAGATGAGGCAAGTCAGGGAAGACGGGACTTCAAGTGAACGTAAAGAAGACAGAGGTGATGAAGATACTTAACCAACAACAACAACAACAAGCTCCAGTCACTATCACCAAAGGGAGAAACTTAAAGGAAATAGCCTCTTTCACCTACACCTATCTAGGCACCACTGTTTCAACTACAGGCGGTGGCACAGACGAGGATGTCAAAGCCAGGATCGGAAAGACAGCAAGATAGGCGTTCATTAACCTGAAAATAGTGTGGAGATCTTCTACACTGCACTGCACTCGGCATAAATCGTTAACGACATCCGGATTTCTAACACCAGCATTAGTCAAGCCAGTGCTTCTGTGTGATGGTTGAGAGACTTGGCGCGTTACGAAAGGGATTTCCAACAAACTACAGACATTCATCAACAACTACCACCTACGCTCGTTACTGAAAATCAAATGGCCAGAAAGAATAAGCAACAAGGAACTCTGGGAACGAACCAACAAGCTATCTCTCAACAAATATGCACTGGATGGAACTGGAGATGGATTGGGGATACACTGAGAAGGTCGACTGGGGACACCACGCGCCAGGCCAGGACATCAAGTGGAACCCAGATAGGAAGCGACGAGTTGGGTGTCCGAGGTGAGGGTGACATGGAGGAGATCGTGAGGGGAAGAAATGCGAGCTTTTGGGCTGTCGTGGAGTCAGGTTCGAAATTTTGCAGAGAACAGAGTGCACTGGAGATGTGCTACTGAAGCCGTATGTTCCATTAGGAACCCAAGGGATACATAATAAATAATAATGATTATTATGATAGATATAGAACTATTGATACTTGTGTTCAAAGCTTTCCAACTGATTTTTGAATTCATCATCAGTATCTATATGGTTTATAATTTCCACAGAAAGAAATACGAATAAATAACTGGAACTAGTAGGTTAAAAGTTTGATCACCATTACTTTCGGTGTTCTGCGGTTAAAAACATATCAAAATCTTGGAAAGAAATTGCCAGTAAGTGTATGCTTAACTAATCACTGAACAAAACAATAATCTAATGCTATTTAGACTAAATTTTATCAGTCACTAGCTTGATTTGATCACTAAATCTATTAATTTCAGAGTACACAGTGTTAAATATTGGTTAGCGGTATATAATCAGAAGAAAACTGTGAACTTATACTCTGCATAAACTGATAGTCATTAACAATACGTATCGAAAGCTCCAAGGTAGCCTGAATGAAATTGAGAGTTGGAGACTATTGACAAGTCCAAGATATAAATCTCAAGCTTTTGATTTATTACATTTGAACGTCTATTGGTGAACCAAACTTTATATATGAAGTAGCTAGGTGAATTCAATGCATCCACAAAGCTGTGCAAATGAAGTGCTATGATAACTTCACAAGTTACTCAACTGTTATACAACCCAAGCTTTACACGCTAATACAGAGTTTACAGACGAACTAAGGATCTGGTGCTATGATCTCTACGCTTAATTCCCAACCAACAAATCTATTTGATATGCCGAAAAAAATGAAGTTTATCCTGCAATTGTTTACACACACATAAGTGATTAACATTTGGAGCCCATAAGATATTTAAGAACCAGTTACATGTCAAATTAACTGTGAAGCACCTACTTCTCTGCTGCTCTATATTTGTTAGACATGCTTATTGAAGGTAAAAGACATGGAAAGGTTAAAAGTTTCGATCAAAGGGTGTATTTATGATGATGTTGAATATGGTGCATTGGTGGTAAGGTATCAGGTAATAAAAAGCAGCTTGTCTATGAGATTACGAGTCTTGAAGTACTAGGATGGCTTTTACATGTGTTGTACATGCCAAACCAACACCAATATCAGTGTGCAATGACAAATGAAGTGGGACAAGGTCAAAAGAAGACTGTTAATGATCAGATAACCAGGTTGTACTAACCAATGAAGTCTGTTACTGTTGGTTTGAGTCATGCAGAAGGGTAAAGACTACGTTGTCGGGGACCTTGAAGTGTTAGGTGATATTTATCAAAATCTATCACGGTAGTATATATATATTATATATATATATATATATATATATATATATATATATAATCTCTAAATCATTTCCATCTATCCATTCTCGCTTCTTTCATACCAAGTCTCGTCTTCTGTAATATCTTTCTGTTTTTATTTCCTCCCTTCTTCTAACCTGTTATAAATCATGGCAATTTCAATTGATTCACTTCTCTGCAAAACTCTACGTCAATATATTCATCTGTCATCTCACAAACAGCAAGTTTAGTGTATTGAGGCCTACTAAAGAACTTCTAATTACTAAATCATTTGTTATAAATGAAAAAAGAAACACATTTCAGATTAGGATTATTTAACTTTTTATGTACATGATTATGTAGAAGGTTATAGGTTAATGTAAAACAAAAATATGCTTAATGTGTATGTCATAGAAAGTAGATAATATACACTTTATATCTTTTATAATAATCAAATAACTTGTGGACGTAATTCATTTGTTTATCTATGAATTATCTTAGATGATCCTGTAGTTGAGTTCTTAACAATTAATGCACCACTTTCAAATCAGTCAGAAAAGCCAATAAATCAATAAATGATAAAAATTCTTATTCACAAATATATACTGATTTTTTAGAATACTTTAATTTACACTCTTAGAATCTGAGAGATATAAAATAAGGATATGATAATCAAGAAAAAGTTAAGTATACTTGAAAAAGATAATAATGTACTTGAATTACATCCATTTTTATTGTTACAATTACAGTAACGAACTTTAACTCGATAAGTACCTAAACGATCTATACACCAACGACCATCTTCTGCACCAATTACACCAGTGACTGCACAATCTCTATAATATCGTCTAGTCCATTTTCCATCTAAATACACTAAAAATAATTGTAATAAGAAAATATTATTTCATAAGTGTAAAAGTAATAGTAATAGATCACCTCTCTAATTAATGATATAGTTTAGTAATGATACCAAGAAATTGAACTGGGCATTTATTGAATTCTATGACCATCATAATTACCATCCTTGTTATTTTCAGACTACTGAAACCATATTCACTTTCAATGGTTCAAATATACTGGAACCATACAACCTAGATGTTTAAAATAAAACAATTTACATTTGTCTAAAGTCTCTAAAGATAGATTTTGCTCTTATGTAACATATTTTTACCATAGAATTATTAGTTTCAAGGCAGTGATCAAGTTAAAAAGTGTTTTTCAAATAAATCTAAGTCGATAATGAACTGAGGTGATAATTATCACCTCAGTAGATGATACTTTCCAAAATAGCTGTCAGTCAACACTTTTGTTGGGCCAAATGAGACAATTTTGGGTGACTAAATATACAAAATGTTTGATCAAGTGTACAGCTAGGCTCGGAATTTGGTAACATTTTCGCTATGCTTTGCCTTACGTTTTCTAGCCGTAAATATGGCCTCATGTTTGGCATATTTATCCCTACGTCTGGCTATGATACTTTGCAAATGGCTCGACTTCTAGCCCCACTTACTGACTGTTTGCTTTACAACCAGCCCCACTGGTCGCAAATTTGCTCCAACCAAATCAGTGGCCTAACGTTTGGCGCCTTCTGGTTTTACATCAGATTTATGCCTCGGCACTGGGCATAAAATTTGTCCTATTTTGCCTGACAAAATTGTTGACTGGGTCTGTGTAACTTGTACACTTTTTTTGCTCTGTTATAAATTTTAAAAAAATAAATAAACCAAACACTTAGTAAACAGGAAACGTTTTTCTTGATTTCGGTTATTTTCAAGTTTAAAAAAATACTTTCAGATTATGTCCAACTGGCACCTTTTAAAGTAAAATCATACTCTTCTTTTCATACTTAAAAGGTTTTGGGCGAAACCGCATAGTATACGTAATATATATCATAGTGATAAAAGTATGACAAAGCGTTCAACGGTTTCGGTAAGCATTACTAGAATTGAACAATGATAAGTAGAGTTTCTAGTTCTTTTAGTATGTTGTATCAATTCAAGGGTTATAAAAGATAGGCTGAAGAAAATATCTTGGATAACCAGCAATGAACGCAATACCTTGCTTTGTTAACCGGTAGTCTCTACAATATTGCTGTGTCATATGCAAAATAAAGTGACTTGGTAAATAATTCACAGAAAAGGAGATAACTAAGTTCAACTGCTTGGTGAAACTAGTATTTATCCACCAAGATACTGTTATTACTCGAGGAGTAGTAAAATAAACAGATCAATTAATTTTTTTACACACAATATGCACTCCCTAAAGACTGTGTTCTCTGGACAAAAATTAGAGATCTCTAAAAAAATCTATTGTTCCTAAGAATGCAAACTTTCTCCCACAAGCGCAGGAATGATGAGAACTCCATAACAAATGGGATTAAGAACAGAAAAAGTCAATGAGAGAACACGCTACATGAAATGACAAGCATCAAACATCTGATCCCGGTCGGAAAACTTGTTGAAATGAGCCGGGTTCATATTACGATCGAAAAGTGTACCCTAAAAATGTAACTTGTTACGACATGATAGTTAGAACCAGCTATGAGTCCAAATACCCAAAACAATAGCTTGTTGAAACACCTCAAAACATGTTATTCTAAATGGAGGATTGTTCAAAATTGTGACTTTAATTATTACTTTTATACCTGCTTAAAAATCAGAGGCGTACATAAACAACTAAGACAGTTATAGGAATTCAGTATGACTTGATATTTTTCATTACTGGATTTCTAAAGAAAGAACTTGTCATCGTGTATGTTCAGGCTTCACAAAAGGTAGTTGAGAAAAAGGGACAAGGACTGAAATCTACACAAGCTTAGGATTAGTTTTCAACAAAAAGAGACAGAACATCCAGTAAGGACGAGTTCCAAAAAGATGAGGCTAGAATGGATAAAACTTTGTACTTACAAGATTTCAAAGCATATACAGCTTCACTTTATCATTCCTCCCTAGATCTCACACAAAATATAGAAAACATTAGGCGATGAAAGATTTAGATGAACTCAGGAATGAATACGACAGAGAATTTGCTGAATCCCTGTAGCATTAAAGATGGATAAAAATAACTCAAGTTGTGGTTCGACAACTCTAAAGAAAACAAATAAACTTTTAACAGTCTCTGTACTGTTTACGGTGCACCAGTACAAATATCGGGGTATCCACCGTGAATCAACTCATTTATGTAAACTACATATTGTGCTTCGACTAACCTGTTGTAGGAAACCATGATCTTCAGAAGGGATTATAGTATCTGTATTACTAGACCAATAGAGAAAATGTTAAATCTACGCCCACAGGCATGAAATATCATATGCTAATATCAAAATATTAAACGACGTTATAATTAACTATCAGATGATATAGTGTGCTTCTAACCGTTTAAAACTCGGAAAAAAATTAAACAAACAACCTAAAATCGTGACACTTTCTGAATGACCACAATGTGTGTTATCTAGGTACCTGCAAACATTGAGTGAACTTTATAGTTATTAAAAACCTTAAGCAAAAGTTTTTTACCAAACTACGAAAGCTTCTACAACTTCAGGAAAGATAACTAATTTCTCAAGGATCACATTAAATAGCCGTATATATGCTCAACGTTTTCATTCAAAAATTCGAAAGCGTGCATAAAGTTTTCATAAGCTGGTGGGGATGATAGACCTCAGAACTAGAACTAATTGCATCGACTCACTTTCTTGGATCATCTTCACACATCTAGAATAGTTCTTGCCATCGTTTGGACAAGCGACAAGTGGAAAGGTGCGATTGTCAAAATAGTCTCCGCAATGAGGTTGAGTAAGTGAGTTGCACTGGTAGCAGCGCAATTCTGATCCAATGCCTAAGTTCAAGCATAAGTAAAATAATTTTAGTCAAAATGATGTCTCACCTACTTGGCATACGCCTCCAGAAGCCATCATAAGGAATATGATTATTCTAAGCACCATTTCCGCAAAGCAATTTGAAAAGGCAACGTTTACAATAACTGCAGTAATTATCTTATGAAAACATCAGACTAAGATTTTCGGTAATTTGTTTAGAGATAAAAATGTATGAGTCTGTAATGATACTTTCACATTTGATCTCTATGTTTGTTCACTACTGCCTTGAAAGAGTCAATCGATGGCACGTACACTACTTCCTGGAGTTGGCTTCAATATCCAATATAAACTTAATACCTTTCTATGGGCTAGTGTGAACCAACTGATCTTATCGTGCTAACTTCTGGGCCTTGTGGAACAGTTCCAGGTCTCTGGTGAATTCCAATGTAGTAGGTCTATGCACTCGTCTGCTGTAGCTTTGGTTAGCCAATCGCGCGGTTGGGTGTCGATTGAATTTGTAGGGATTGTGTGATTTTTCCAAAGACCGTGACACAGATGGGCCCCCTACATGTCAGACCACCAGAAAATTATTCGGACTAGTCGTAAAAAGAAGACAGAAAGGATGTCTAGATAAATCTGAGGACAGGAAGTTGGAAGAAAAAAAGATAAAGGCTGGAGAAACGAAGAAGAGGGAAAAACCCAGGACGGTTCATGGGAGATAGGTGGTAGGTGGAGACCTCGGAGTCAGGGGGGAAAGAAAGAGCGGGTAGGATTATGGGAGGGGTTGTGGGAATAGAGATAGTAATGCTATTGGTAGGTGGTAAATGGAGATGTCTACATGGAAGTATGGGGTCGGGTCAGGTTCCAGTGTCCAATACTGATTGCGCCAGCGCAGAGGGCTGGTAGTTTTTTATCTCTCATACCTAGGTCTTATGGTCTGGTTTGAGCTATTCGGTTAGCTCCTGCAGTGGACAGGAAAATCTTTTCCACTTTCCTGCTTTTAGCTTCGGTGAGGTGGATGCTCGGTGGGTAAGTAAACTGCAACTTGTGTAGTGAATGAGAAGCTACAGGTTACTGGGGAGATTCAGGGTGTGTTATGACTCCTGCCTGAGTAAGTGCCTGATGAGGAATGGCAAGATAGTGAGAAAAAAAGCATATGGGAATCAGTCGAGAGGTAAAGGTAGATAGCATAGGCCTAGTTTCTAGACAAGAGTTAGTAGACAATGTAGGTGTATTAAGACGATAGATAATGAGTGGTGGGTAGAAGGGAAGTGAAGTTCAGCTGGTGGGGTTACTGACGCTCTGAGTACGTTCATGGTAAACCACGAGAAGTGACACAACTGTCTAACTGTCTTTTGAATGAGTCGACTGAGGGGCTAAGCACTTATTCTCAGTAAGAATAAGTTGGACCTGAGCGTGGTGTTAGCTCCCTGAAATGCTATCCCAATGGATTTCCTCGTGATCCCATATCCAATATTGATAGTGCTAGCGTAGAAAGCGGGTAGTTTTTGATCTCTCGCGTCCAGTTCTTAGGGCTTGGTTTGAGTTGTTCGGTTCACTCCTGCAGTGAACGAAGAAATCCCCTCTGCTTTCTTGTTTTTAGCTTCGGTGAGGTGGATGTTTTGTGGGTTAGTAGGTTGTAACTCGTAGAGTGATTGGGGAGCTACGGGTCTCTGGGGAGTTTAGGGAGCCGCCGTAACTCCTGTTTGTGTAGGTACCTGAAAGGGAATTGTAAGGTAGTGATAAAAGAATGAAGAGAGAATAAAAAAGAGAAGAAAAATAATATAGGGAAGAGAAAAGGGAAGGAGAAAAGAAGGGGTGAAAAGAGAAATAAGAACGAAAGAAAAGTATTTGGGAGTTGCGCGAATGGTCGCATGGGTTTGGTTCCTACAGAAGAATTAGTAGGTAATGTGAGTGTATTAGGAGGGAGGTAGTGGGTGGTAGTTAGGAGGGAGTTGGGGGTCAGTGAGGTTGGTGACTACCTGAGTACGTCCGTGGTAGTCCATGAGAAGTGATATGGCTGTCGAATCGTCTCTTGAATGAGTCGACTGAGGGAGTTATAACGATGTGTCGTGGTAAGGCATTCCATAAAGCACATACCTTTAGGCAGAAAAATTTGGACCTGAGTGTGGTGTTGGCTCTCTGGTGTGCTATCTTAATGTGGTTTCCTCGTGAAGATCGTTGAGTTGCAGGCAAAATTGATTTGTTTGCATGGTCTGCCCGATGGGCGATCTTGTATGCCATAATGAGGTCACCCCTTTTCCCGCGATAACCCAAGGCAAATAGGTTTAGGTGTTTAAGTCTTTCAGGATACGTCTTTCCCCTTAGCCCCACAACACATTTTGTTGCAGTTCTTTGGATTCTTTCAAGGAGATTAGAGTCTCTCTTGGGTGTTGGAGGAGCCACCGTATTGAGGACCTCAAGGTGCGGCCGCACGTAGGATTTGCGAATGGTGAGGAAGAGTTCAGGAGTGAAGGCGCCAAGCTGTCTACACAGAAAGTGTAGAATGGCGTTCTCTCTGGTTGTCATACCTTTGTAGTTGGAGCTGGTGTCCAAGGTGTCGGAGAAGTTGAGCCCCAAATCTTTCTCCGTGGACACTCTGCTGATAGCACGGTTGCTCAGCATGTACCTCTTTATATTTTCAAGGGGGTCAGGGTCTCTCCTGAGTGTCGGGAGAGCCACCGGACTGAATACCTCAAGGCCCGGCTGTATATAGGAGTTAAACTGTGAGGAAGAGTTCGGGGTGGGCGCACCGAGCTGTCTACGCGGGAGGTGCAAAGTGGCGTTCTCTCTGGTTTCCATGTTTTTATAGTTAGAGCTGATGTTCAAGGTGTCGAAGAGGTTGAGCCCTAAATCTTTCCCCGAAGATACTATGGTGATAGCCAATCATGTGCTGGAAGTCGACCGTACTTGCCTAATATTTACTGATGTGCATTACTTTGCACCTTTCCAGGCTATAGCTCATGCCATTTTCCGACTACCAGAGTTCATGTCGATGCAATTCGTTTCGTGGCCCAGTGCTGCTGACTTCTTCGTTTATCACCCCCCCTCAAATTGTAATGTAATCAGCGAAGAGGAGGATGAGTGAGATTTTGTGTGGCGGATCACTGAAAAACAGGAGGAACGGAAGTGCTACTATGGTTGCTGCTTCGGATATTCCTGACGTCTACAACCTCCACTTCGACTGCATTCCGTTTGCCTTGATGCAGAACTGTCTACCTTCTAGGTGCTTACCGAACCAACAGTGTAGAGGTTCACTTATGTCGGCTGACGTGAGCTGGTGAACAGGACTACAGGTGGAACCCCGGCAAACGCTTCGGCTAGGTGAGAAGACAGCATGTACCGGTTTTCTGTTGTCCCAGCTGAGTATCCAGCCGTCCCAGGCGGTTAATAAGTTGATGACACATGAACGACTACTTCAAAAGCCGTGCCGAACAGTACGGATTGTGTTTCCTCGTTAAGGGATTCCCAGATCGCGTCAGTCACCAGGCTTTCTAACACCTTTGACATTATGGGGAGTGCAGCAGCCAGTCTACAGCTGCCAGGACTTTTTCTGTCTCCTCCCTTGAACACATGTGACAAGACGGCACGCTTCGATTATTTGGGGAGTTCTCACGACTCTGTCGAATGCTTGAAGAGGTTGGAGGTTGGTTTTGCAGGCCTCTCAAAGCAGCTTTTTAGGATTACCGGTTTTAGGCTATGGGAGCCAGAGGACTTGCCTAGAGCTAGCCCATGTAGTTTCTCTAACACTTTTTTCTCTGTGATTGAGATGTGGTAGAGATATTCGTTATGGTCTGGCCGGTGTCTTAACGAGTCGGTGCAGGTTTGATGTCAGTACTTAGTTGAGCTTGGATGTGCGGGCTAAGAAGCTCAGCAATCTTTGGACTGCTTAGTACACCCATCAGGACCTTCGATAAGATTCACTCCCCTGCTGGTTGACTTCCTTTTACACATGGAGCGGTACAGGTTTTAGGGGTTGCTTTGTAATCTCCCCACCAGGTTTGTTTGGTGGGTAAATCTGTTGATAGCCCTCTGATGCCACAGCGGTTGCGAATCCTTTTGTAGTTCGAGAAGTCAGACTCCCCGTGTGATGAACGCCACTTGAACTAACCCTGCTTCTTGGTCTGAAGTGACCTCTCTGTCTCGCGTGTTACCCATGAGGTTCTCACTGACGGTCTCCGTTTCACCTCTGTCACACCGCGACTGATGGCCCCAACGATCACTAGCTCCACCCGTGTCCAGTGTTCGTCCGTTGTGAGATGAGTCCAGTCCGCAGGCCATGATGCATTCATGAGGTTATCTCCCTTGGCCTCGTAGTAGGCCTTGCTGCGGCAAAGGAAGATGTTGGGCGGCTCCGGTTGCAGGGCTTCCATAGTAATCATGGTGAAAGTTATACTGCTTGGTCACTGGGGCCAAGAGGTGGTCGGATACACGTGTCTCAAATGAAGTCATCGTTCGTCGAAATGTGGTCAAGGAGCGATCCATTTCCATCAGGTCCCCAGCGTGTGGTACCACCCACTTTCTTTGATAAGCCAGCAGTCCCAATTGCATTCTTCAGCTTCTGACTGAAGGTTATGATGTGTCTCCCTCCTGTTTCGAAGAGGATGGACCGGGTGCCAAAGTCGCTAATGGCAACTGCAGAATCACGACCTCCGGGTTGTCTTGGCAACCGTTTTCTTATGCGTAGGGGGGCTAGTGAGTGACTGATATGTGACCCCAAGCACGTACGCAGTACGACAGAAAGTGAAGCAGCAGCATAACGATTCTTGGAGCCGGACTAAGGCGGTGTCGCCTACCACTCTTGCGTTTAAATGGGAGCTTATGTAGGGGGCTGCTCACCCTCCCGATCCGAGCTCTCTGTCCCTACGGAAGAGTTCATCGCCACTGACATGCATCTCCTCATCGGAGATGTCCGGCGAGAGCCAGGATTCGGTAGTAACTATGCTGTCAGAGTGCAGGTGTTCGCGCAGCGTCCTCACCTCCACTACTTCCACTCTCGGTCCCCACAGAAGTGAGTACTGAGCCACCCATGCGGCGTTTCACATCATACCATGTGCACAAAACCTCTGTGAGGGGGGCATGTGAGTCGAATTGGGTGGCAGGTAGTCTAGGAGGAGGAATGGACTTTGGATGCGTTGGTCTGGGCAGTCCACTGACGCTGTTGACCGGTAATTTGAAAAGACCGACTTTGTATGAAAGTCACTTCCATTTTTGGACATCGTGGAGGCACCAATCTTTAGCGTGCTGGTTACTTGGCAGTTCTGAGATCCCATGTGAAACCATGGTGCTGTTTCTGTCC